TTCCTGAGTAGTTGTAGGTAGCGTCACAACATCAAGCGTTAGCACCGAAGCGTTGATGGTACCAGCAAAGGGTAGGTGCACTGTGCTGGGAGCTGGCGGCGGGGTCCGAGGCAGGACAAAGACGTCGGGGTTGGTAGAACACGGTGCGTCGGGCAGGAACAGGAGCAGAGCTGCTCAAGGGTGTCCATCCTGTGGTGCAGAGACTGTAGCAGGTCCCTCATGTCTAGTGAGGTGTTGCTCATCTGAAGAGCGTTGATCCGGTTGACAAGATCGGAGGTAGGTGACGGTGTGGCAGCTGAGTTGTCCGCGGCAGCATGGTACATAGCAGTGTATTCTTGGAATGCTCTGTCTGCCGTGGCTGCGTAGGTCGCCGGGGATGTAGAGTAGTCCATTGCAGACAGAGCGAGGCAAACTTTTGCGGGGAGCTTCTGGGCGTGAAGCTGGCGCAGGGCAGTGTCAGGAAGCCTTTCTGTGTGGTGGGAGTTTAGTCTACGCATCTCGTCCCAGAGATGTGCAGGCGTTGAGTTTCCGAGGGGTAGACTTAATAGGTCTTGCAGGAGACTGGCGCCAGGCCACTGGTATCGCCTCTTCAGAGCATCTCGTAGAGCTGCAAATTTGTTGTCAACTGGAGGGTTGGTGATGACTTCTGAGACTTGTGTGGCGACTTCTGTAGGCAGGGAACAGACCAAGGCGATGTAATTTTGCTCGTCCTTAGCTGTTGAGCCGGTGAGAGCTGCCTCCACATGAATTTTCCAGTCCTCGATGTTGTGGTTGAAGACTGGAAGAGAGATCCGTTTCTCATCCATCCTTGTGTGAGTGCGTCACTCCGTGGGTCACCAATTATAGCATAGTGTATGTGGCCAGTAGTGTAATTTCTCTTCGTGTTTGTCTATTTTCTCTTTGTTAGGCTCACATACATACGTAGATGTTGGAGATCTCGCACTAAGGATGGAGGTGAGAAAGGAAACTCACAATGGCGTTTTCTTTATACAGTCATGCGCTGGTTAACGTCCTAGATACGTTCTTGGAAACGTGATGTTAACTGAAATGGACGTTGTCCGAAATTACATAAACCTATCGGATTTATTCTCATGGGGGTTCCAGGCACCCAACCCCAAGTTTCCCATTTTACAACCATTTAGACCCACTAAATATATATACAGTGGTCCCTCGGTTAACGAGCACAATCCGTTCCAGCAGGTTGCTCGTTAACCGAAAATCTCGTTAACCGAAACCATTGTTTCAATGGGTTTTTGGGTAATTGGTTCCAGCTCACCGAAAATTGCCTAAATTCAACAAAAATGGAAGAAAAATTCACTTACTTTGAGGTGTGTATGTAGAAGGCTCCTGGATGATGATGATGATGTGCATTTGAAGTGGGAGGTGGAGGAGGAGAAGGGAGAAGAGAAGGAAGTGGAGGTGGAGGAGAAGCATTTTACTGCTTCTTGGAAGGTGAGTCATCTTCCGTGAAAATGTCAGGAACCTCTGAACTGACAGATTCTCCACCATGAACATCCTCTCTCCTTCTTGAAGTGGAAGGCTGAGGTATAGCATCTTGTTCCCTCTGCCCTTTACTGAAGAAAGTGTCAATTGTGGTCTGTGGGGCATCTGTCCTCCTCACCATTAACTTATGTTTAAAGAAGGAGACCACTGAGTCCTCAACATGACACAAAGTTAGTTCAGTTGTTTCCACTTCTGGGTGCTTTGAAGCCAGTTCCCTGAACTTCTCCCAGTAGTAAATCACATCTTTCAACTGTTTAGCTGACATATGGTCATCACTTCCCCTTTCCTCCTCACCACTGTCAGCTTCTAACATCTCATCCAGTTGCTGCAAGTCTTCAGTCGTAAGTTCCTGCTCATGATATATCACAAGCTCGACCACATCATCATCCTCCTCCACTTCGAGGCCCAATGACTGACCAATAGACACAATCTCCTGGTCCAACTCCGTTTCTTCCTCAAATCCCTCAAAATCATGGACTGCTGATGGCCACAGTGCTTTCCATGCATAATTGAGAGATCTAATGGAGACTTCTCGCCATGCAGACACAATCAATTTTACAGCCTCCAGGATATTGAATTGTGTCTTCCAGAACTGTGCCAGTGTTAGTTCAGGATCAGTGGAAGTTGACTGATAACACCTCCTGAACATTTTCTTCATGTACAGCTTCTTGAAGTTGCTGATCACATTCTGGTCCATTGGCTGTATAATTGATGTAGTTTTGGGAGGCAAAAACAGCACTTTGACAAAGTCAAATCGAGCCTCCAAGGTGCTGGCAAGTTGAGGGTCATGACCAGAGGCATTATCCATAAGAAGAGCCTTTAAAGGGAGTTTATTGGTGGTTAGGTAGCTCTTCACAGAAGGGCAAAACACCTCAACAGCCCATTCATTAAAGAGCTGTCTTGTCACCCATGCCTTACGGTTGGACTTCCAATACACTCCAAGTTGTCCTTTTACCACTTGCTGTTGCTTGAACACCCTGGGGTTCTCAGAGTGGTAGACATGCATAGGCTTCAGTCGGAAATCCCCTGAAGCATTGGCACCAAGCAATAGAGTGAGACGGTCTTTCATGGGTTTATCCCCAGGTAAAGAGGCTTCATCTCTGGTGATGAATGTCCTTTTGAGCATTTTCTTCCAGAACAGCCCAGTTTCGTCCACATTGAACACTTGCTGTGGAAGATAATTTTCTTCATCCACCAGTTTCTTAAACTCCACTACAAAATTTGCTGCTCCTTCCTTATCTGCACTGGCAGTTTCACCATGTCTAACACCACTAAAAATGTCACTTCTTTTCTTAAATCTTTCAAACCAGCCCTTGCTTGCCCGAAAATCTTCAAACTCTGTGCCAGAAAAACAAGGTTGATCTTCCTTTGAATGTTCGTAAATCTCCCTGGCTCTTTCACAAATATATTCTGTAGAAACTGAATCACCTTTCATTTGTTTTCCCCTAATCCAAATGAGAAGTGCCCTCTCTGTTTCTGCTATCAATGATCTACCTTTAAACAGTCTGGTAGATTTGTCTCACTTTCACTTCCTTGAACTTGTCTTTCTGTGCAAGAATTGTCGACACAGTTGATGCCGACATGCCATATTCCTTACTAAGCACATTTGTTCTAATGCCTTCTTCATGTTTCTTAATAATTTCCTGTTTCACTTGAATTGAAATCGCCTTTCTTGATTTCTTTGGTGCCATGCTGGATTCAATACAGTAATTTCACCACTAAAATTTTAAGTTCACTAGCTGTAATTAAAGATTATTTTCTTTAAATCAACACTGCACTGTGCTATATATTATCAATATGTTAAATAAATTTCAGAATGACCAATAATTGTATTGTAAAAACGTAAAAATAGTTTATGTTCAAGAGAGTCTCAAGCAAGATGTTACCTCTACTGACCAGAGATACAAACTGACGCCTGCTGGGCGAGTCAAGTGGCAGTTTGGCACGCTAAAGACTAGTTTCCTGTACTTCAATTACGTTAAATAATTGTTAAAATGACTTAAAATTTTAATATAAAACTTGTAAAATTATTGAATAGTACAACCTTCTTGATATTTACTCAAATGGGAACGAATTTAAGCCCTAGAACCGATTACTGTATTGGCGGACTAATATTCCAGCTGGTGAGCAGGCGAAAACATGTTGAGAAGAATTCGTAAGGATTTCCTTAACCGAATTTTTTTTTCGTTAACCGAGTTGAAGATTCTTATGGAAGGTAATTCGTTAACCAAAATTTCGTTAACCGAGGCATTCGTTAACCGAGGGACCACTCAAATTATTCGCTATCTTGCAAGGATTCCAACAATGTAAGCTATATTCTGCTAAGTTTAGTCTGTGATATTTTATAAAATAAAAAACTTTAAGCCTAAAACTAACGTCACCCTGTTTTGGGAATGCTTCTAAAGGAGGTTTCTTAGCCCAGAGCCCCCAAAATTTTTGTCCGAATCTTCCAAAATCCGGATTTAACCGGGTCTGGATCTTCAAGGGTTTACTGTATGTATGTTTTGTTGCCAAAGTATGAGAAACAATTGAGACCCTGCAATTGTGTGTAAATGAGGCAGAAAGTCAGATCAGCAACCTGGGACTTGGTCACAATTTTTGTGATGCCATATGGCAGCAGCGTCTACCATTAGACAGTACATTATGCTTTCAATATCTTCCCAGGCGGTAGTACCTCCCTGTTTGATAGTTGCCTACTACCTACAGTCTTAGGTTGTGATTGCCTTTATCTTATGTTATTTTTAGATGCATGATAATTTCTAATAAATATTTTAATTGAATTAGTGTCATTATATAATTTCTTTGTTGATTAAATTTCACAAGGTCCTTCTAATGTAGATATATGAAGAAAATTTCATTAGCCTTAACAAATTTAAGAAATATACCAAAATGGTGAAGATCATTACTGTACAGTACAGGAGGTCCCCAGGTTACGAACGGGTTCCTTTCCTTAGGATTAAGAATATTCGTAAGTCGGATTTGTACATAAGTTGGAGCACATGCTTTACGCATACAGTACTTACAAAATAATGCTTAAAATCCCACTATATCATAGTCTAACTCTTTTTATACAACTAAAATCACTTGATTTAAAAGAAAAGAAGAAATAGAATGACAAAATACAGGATACAATAAATGAGTTAAAAATAAGTCATCAGGTAAATACTGTAAATTTCAAGTTTAACCTCGTTTGTATTGGCAGGTGTTAGTAGTCGGGGACCTCCTGTACTGTGATACCTAATTGACAGAGCAAGGGAACCGACCCCCAGTCAACAAAATTCTTAGATTTAAAAAATGGGGGATTTATCATGAATTCCCTTTTTAATACCACTGGTGAGTGAAAGATTTTCTGTTACAACTATGCTATATCCAAGCTGTCCACATTGAGCTGTTTGATTGTTAACAACTTGAGAAAAAGTTTATTATATGCAGTTAAATATTAAGGTTAAGAGATAAATAGATGATAATTACAATATATCCCGTTCTAATATTTCCAGTTCGTCGTGAATGGGTGAATCTATTGTCAGTGCTAACTTGGGGTGTATTTATGGTTTGCTTCTGGAAAATAGGAGACCCTTTTCCTATCCTTAGTACTCAGCATGGGATACTTTCCATTGAACAA